AAAAAAAAAAAAAAAAGAGAAGCTGATGGGGCAAGATCTCACTGGAGACAAGATCTGACTGGCGCTCTGAGGCCACTTCTCACACCCTGAGTCCCCACCCTCTGCTTGTCTCTTCTTTCCATAGTGGGATGATTTCATGGAACTTGGCAATAGCATCCCTGACTCCCGGCTGGACCAGATCATTGCGAGCCAGAAGCCCAATCAGTGTGCTGTGCTCATCTACACTTCCGGGACCATGGGCAACCCCAAGGGAGTGATGCTCAGCCATGACAACGTAAGTGCTTTCTCCACCGACAGTGACCAGCTTGGTAGCATCCAGAGTTCCTTCACTCTGGGGCAGAGGCCTTCAGGATGTTTTTGTTCTTGACCCACAGGGGCAGGGTGGTAGTTAGGGGTCTAGAACGCAGCCCTTCACCAGCAGCGGGTATAGAGTTATGCGGATGCTTCCAAGGGTGCAACAGGAGTTGAGATCAAGGACTCCAGAGCAGACCTGGGTCCAAATTCTGGCTCTGTGATCTTGGGCAAGGCATCTCACATCTCCAAGCCTCAGTTTCCTCATCTTAAAGTGGGCGTGATGCAACAGTCCGAGTTGTACACTTAATAAATCCTCACAGTGATTCTATCAGACAGATGCTATTTTTACAGATGAGAAAACTGAAGCCCAGAGAGGTTCAGTTACTTGGCCCAGGTCACACAGCAGCAACATGGCAGAGCCAGGATTTGAACCCCAGGCAGGCTGGCTCCATAGTCCACATTTTTAACTACACTGTAGATCAATGTGGCTAATATGTAAAGATGTCCAAAGATGCGATGTAAACATTTAACGTAAACAATGCAGAAGAACACTACTCAGAACACAATGCGATTTCTGTTAAAAACCTTAAAAAGGCACCAAGCGATATGCACCTGTGTACGTTTTAAAAGCAGAAAAATGTCTGGCAGGACATGCATCCAACTGGCAATGGTGGTTCCCCTCGTGAGTCAGAAAGATTGCTAGTTTTTAAATGAAGCGTTTCTACCTTATAAGAGCTTTTCCTTCCAGCCTAGCTTAATAGTTACCAGCACACTGGCCTTCGCACTGGCTGTTCCCTCTGCATGGGATTCTCTTTCCCAGTGAACTATATGGCTTGCTCCTTCACCTCCTTCTGGTCCCTGCTCAAACATCACCTCCTCCGTGAAGCCCTCCCTGATTTCCATGTTTAAAATAGCAAATAATAAACCATCCCATTAGTCCCTTATGCTCCTCTGGCTGCTGTTTTTCTTACACTGTCATATTATATAGTCATTTGCTTATCGTGAACATTAGCTCCCTGATGGCAGGGGTTGTCTGTCTTGTTCACTGCTGTGCCTCCAAGCACAGAGGAGGACTCAGTACACCTTTGTGAAATGCATGGATGAAAGGCATCTGATTAAACTCCTACCTGACCCAGACGAGCATTTATACTCCTCATAGCTTCAAGCATGGTGAGATATTCTCCTACCATTGGGACGACAAGTATAAACCCTGGAGTGAGGCTTCCTGGCTTTCCTATTTGCTAGCTATGCGATCTGGGACAAGTTCCTTAACTCCTCTGGGCCTCAGTTTCCCCATGTATAAGATGGAGATGAGAATGGCTTCTACTCTTAGAGTTGCTGTGTAAGATAAATTATTTCATATGCTGTGTCAGTAAGCTATTGCTGCATAACAAGCCATTTCTAGAACTTAGCGACTTAAAACACCAACAGTGTATTAGATCTGGGTCTGGAATTTGGGCAAAGCCCGGCAGTACGTTTCTTCTGCCCCACGCAGCGTCTCCGGGGGTCACTCAGCTGTACTCAGCTGGTTCCCTGGGCTAAGCAAGAAGGTCCAAGAAGGGTTTCACTCACAGGTCTCGCGTGGCTGCGGCTTCCTCACAGTGCGGTGGCTCCAGGTTGTCGAGCTTCTTAACATGGCGGCTGGCTGCCCCTCAGAGCACATGCCCTGATCCAAAGGCAAAAGCTGCATCTTGGAAGCCTCAGCGTCAGAAGTGACAGTGTCACTCCATCTGCTCCATTCCGTTGGTCCACAAGTCACTGGACCAACCCTGGGAAAGGAAAGGAGAACAGGCTGCAGCTGTGGGTGGGAGAGTGGCAGAGCATTTGCCATCATCTTTAATCTCCCACACATAAGTAAGGTGCTTCGAACTATGCCTGGCACATGGTGAGCCACAGCAGTGTCAGTTTAGCTGTTGTTGTTTTTTATATCATCATCTTCCTTTTTATAGCAAGAAGTTAAAGCTAACCCAATATTCTCGACATATGTCAACAGCTCAAAGTTTCTCCCATTTATAGGGTACTATGTACCACACTGAGATAAACACATGTTAACCCCTCACAAAAACCCCATGAGGTACGTTGTGTCATTAACGCCTTTCACAGATGGGTAAAGTGAGGCACAGAAAGGGGAAATGACTTGCTTAAGGTCACAAAGAAAAGGCTGAGCCAGGATCTGAACCCTAGAGTGCCTACACCACTGTACATCACTGTCTACACACACAAAGCCCCTTCCCTCCACAAGGGGTGCAGGGTGCCTTGGAGCACAGGCGTAAGTGACAGTATTTATGGGGCAGAAGGAAAGTCCTTCCATCCTGAGGCTCAGAGAAGGAAGTGGGACCCATCTCAGGGCTTACTATGGGCCAAGTGCTTTGCACCCATTACTGCACTTCATTCCTTCTATCTCTCATTCAGTCAACAAATGTTTATTGAGTGCATACTATGTGCTGGGGATACAGCATTGAATAAAATAGATTCAATTATGGCCTCGGGAAGACAGAGAGAGAATGAATAAATAAAACCATTCATTCTCCAAAGAGGACATACAGGTGGCCAACAGACATGAAAAGATGTTCATTGTTACTAATCAGAGAAATGCAAATCAAAACCACAGTGAGATATCACTTCACACCTGTTGGAATGGCTATCATCAACAAAATAAACAAGTGTTGGTGAGGATGTAGAGAAAAGGGAACCCTCATACACTGTTGGTGGGATTGCAAATTGGTACAGTCACTATAGAAAACAGTATGGAGGTTCCTCAAAAAATTAAAAATAGAACTACCTTATGACCTAGCAATTCTACTTCTGGGTATGTATCCAAAGAAAACAAAAACACTAATTTGAAAAAACATATGCACCCCTATGTTTACTGCAGCATTATTTACAATAGACAAGATATGGAAGCAACCTAGGTGTGCATTGATAGAGGAATGAATAAATATATGAGATATTGGCCATAAAAAAGAATGAAATCGCCATTTGAGACAACATGGATGGCTCTAGAGGGCATTATGCTAAGTGAAATAAGTTAGAGAAAGACAAATATCATATGATTTCACTTATATGTGGAATCTTAAAAAAAAAAAACACAAGTGAATAAACAAAACAGAAACAGACCTACAGATATAGAGAACAAGCTGATGGTTGCCAAAGGGGAGGTGGATGTAGGAATGGGAATAAAGAAAAAAAAATTAATGAAATAAAGTAAAACCATTCGGGTTGTGGTGAGTGATACCCAGAGAATTAGATGGAAACCTTAGTTTTGTGGCATGACATTTAAGTGGAAATTTAACATGAGAGAAGATGTCAGTCACGGGAAAAAGTGGAGGAACAGCATTCCAGGCAGAGGAAAAAGCCAGTGCAAAGGCCCTGAGGTTGGACCCTGCCTGATGTGTTGGAGGAACAGCACAGAGGCCCATGTGGCTGGATTAATGAAGTAGCTGCTCACCAGAGATTTATGACACAAATGAGAAATACAGATTGCAAAATTGTAAATGTGCTAGAACTTTACATCAAGGTATACATCGGAGAAAGAAAAACATGAATATGCTAATTGTTGGAGTTTATAGGATGGAATTATGGGCAACCTTTTTGTTTGTTGGACAGTGTTGGTTCCATAGTTTTATACTGGACATGAGACACCTCTGCCCATTTTACAGATGAGGAAATAGAGGCTACAAGGGATTTTAAGCAAATAGCCCAGGGTCACGCAGCTAGCAAACGGTAGAGTCAGGATTTGATTCTGGGACACTTACTGAATCCTTCAGATTTCTGACTTTCCAGGTAGACATTCTGCCTCTAGGGTCTGTTGCTGAACCCACGGGGGTCTGTTTAACCTCCCAAAAGCTACCGCTGAATTTTATATCTCCTTTCAACCTCAGGCAAGTTAGTTAGCCCGCGGTGCATCTATTTCCTGTCCATAAAATAGGGAAATAGCCTCAGTACATTATGATGAGGATTAAACAACTTAATGTTTGTAAAGGACGAGAACAGTGCCGAGCACCTAGTAGGAGCTTTGTGTTTGTTAAAGAATTGCTCCAGCGAGGACAAGGCGCTGGATCATAACCCCCACTCGTGTTCCAGATCACGTGGACTGCTGGGGCTGTGGCGAGGGACTGTGGCTTGTCTCACGCCGCAGAAATGCAGGAGGTGGTGGTCAGCTACCTTCCCCTCAGCCACATTGCAGCTCAGATGATGGATATCTGGGTGCCCATGAAGATCGGGGCTTTCATCTACTTTGCTCAGCCAGATGCGCTCAAGGTAAGCCTGAGGGCAGCCAGGGACAAATGGATCGTTTCATTAAGCCTCAGTTCCAGGGGTTCCTTCTTTGTCCTCATCATATACACCATTTAGCAGCATTAGAGAAAGTTGACTACATTCTTATAGTTTTCATTTTTGCCCAAGTCAGGGCATTCATGTACGCTGAACAACCCAAGGCTAAGATACAAATGGTATTGAAAGCAGAATGTGTGCGTGTGTGTGTAGTTTTTTTTAAAAGTCAGTATTGGGTCGGCCGAGTGGCGCGTTGGTTAAGAACTCGCTTGGGATGCCAGAGGGCCCGGTTCGGATCCCACATATGAGGGCCAGTGACGCTGCCCTCCACAGCTAAGATGCTGAACGACAGCTCAACCTGGAGCTGGGCTGCCATGAGTTGCCAGTGACGGCACAGGCTGCAGCCCCTGTGGCAGTGGGTTGCCATGGGCTACCGTGTGTAGCCAGCAGCCAGCGTGAGCGGCCAGCAGCCGCAGTGAGCGGCCGTCCAGAAGCCGGCGACTGATCTGCCTCACCCGGGAAGAGCGCAATGATGGTGCCAACTTGGGCCAGTGAAGCAACGTCCTCCACAACTAGACTGAAGAACAAAACGACAGCAACTTGTCTGTTCCCCTTCCCTCAATTCCCCAGTGCTGTTCCCATCCCCCAATTCCCCAATTAAAAAAAAAATCTTTAAAAAAAAGTCAGTATTCCCAACTCCACAAAGCTCCAAAAACCAAACCCATCTCCAGATCCTTAACTTAGTCACATCCACAAAGACCCTTTTGCCATAAATGATAAAATAGTCACAGGTTATGGGGGTTAAGACACACATATCTTAGGTAGGCCATGATTTCGCCTTCTACACGCTCAATCATGCAGGCTGTCTTAGTGCCTGTAATTCCTTCTAGAAGGTTCATTCTCTTGTTATTTGTATGTCAGAGGACTTTTTGTCATTTAGTTCTCTTTTTAAATTTCTCCATGGACCTTCTCACATCCCCCAAGCTCAGTGTATGAGATGTAGTAGCTACTCAATAAATATTTTTTGGATGAATTCATAATATAAATACATATATACATACATGCTCTCACCTACAGGACCAAGAAGTTCCATCCTCCCACATCCTTATTGACCCCATAATATTGTCAAAACATTTAAAATAATTAGTCTGATGGGTTTAAGGAGCTGCCAAACTGTTTTTCCAAAGTGGCCGCACCATTTTATATTCCCACCAGAAGTGTATGAGGGTTCTGATTTCTTCTCCTCCATTATAATATCATCATCATCATCATCGCCATCCTGGGGAATGCGAAGTAGTATCTCGTCATTTTAATTGGTATTTCCCTAATGACTAATTATGTTTAGTTTTCATGTGCCTATTGCTCATTTGTGTATCTTCTCTGGAAAAATGTCTGTTCAAATCTTCTGCCCATTTAAAAATGTGGTTGCGTATCTTATTGTTGGGTTTTAAGGGTTCTTTATACATTCTGGATGTAAATCCTTTATCAAATACATAATTCGCAAATCCTTTCTCCCAGCTCTGTGGCTTGTCTTTTCATTTTGACGCTGCTGAAGTCCAATTTATCTTTTTTCCTTGCACGCCTTTGGTGTCCTATATAAGAAACCTTTGCCTTCGCCAAGGTCACGGAGATTTCTTCCATGTGTTCTCCTAGAAGACTTTTAGTTTCAGCTCTTACACTTAGGTCTGTGATCCGTTTTGAGTTGATTTTGTGTTTGGCGAGAAGTAAAGCTCTAAGCTCAGCTCTTCTTTTTAATTTTTTTTGGATATGGATATCCTTTACACCATTCAATTGCCTTGACACTTTTATTGACTGTCAACTGATTGCAAATGTAAAGATCCCTCTGTGGGTTTTCTATTCTGTTCCATTGATCTCTATGTCTATCCTTATACCAAAACCGCACTGACTTGGTTTTACGGGCTTTATGGTGGGATGACTACCTTGTCCCAGTCTGCCTGGGACTTCCCCAGTTTTACAACTGAAAATCCCACATTCCAGGAACTTCTTCAACTCTGGGCAAACTGGGACAGTTGATCACCCTACTTAATAATACATTTCAAAATCCGGTAGTAATTCTTCCAATTTTATTCTTTTCCAAAATTGCTTTGGCTCTTCTAGATTCTCTGCTTTTCCATATAAATTTTAAGATCAGCTTGTCAGTTTGTGTGAACAAGCCTGCATGAATTTTGGTAGGGATTGTGTTGAACCTATAGATCAATTTTGGGGGGAGAATATTGCATCCTTTTAAAGAGTTGCATAATATTCTACTGCACATTTGGGTCACAGGGTTCTTTGTTGTTGTTGTTGTTGTTTTACCAGCATGCTGCTCTCCACCTTAGAGAGAGTGAGAAAATCTGATTGGCTGCCAACCAGCCACTGGGTTGGATCTCTTGGGTGGGGAGCTCACACTGGTCCATCCAATCAGCCAAGGAGAAATTTCTCCTGGGCTGAGCTGGGTGGCTGGGGAGAGATGGACATCTGGGGTGTGTGGAAGGTGCAGGTGTGGCTAACTGAGTTCTGTCCCGTGCAGGGCACCTTGATCAACACTCTGCAGGAGGCAAAGCCTACCGCGTTCCTGGGGGTGCCCCGAATTTGGGAGAAGATGCAGGAGAAGATAAGGGAAAATACTGCCAAAGCCTCAAACTTGAGGAAGAAGGTGTTTTCATGGGCAAGAACTATTGGTTTAAAGATCAATACAAAAAAGATGTTGGGGTAGGTGGAGGGTCCAGTGGGTCGGGGCAGAGAGGGTGGTGGGTGAGGGAGCTCAACTTACTCCATCTGGGACCCATCATCCCCCTTTTGGATCCATGGTGATAGAGCTCCCCTTGGCATTTTTCACAGGACATATGACACTCCCATGAGCTACCACATAGCAAAGACATTCGTGTTCAGCAAAGTCAGGAGCGCCCTTGGCCTTGATTACTGCCATTCTTGTATCAGCAGTGCTGGGCCCCTCAGCCCAGAGGCCTCCGAGTTCTTTCTAAGCCTAGACATACCTATAGGCGAGATGTATGGCATGAGCGAAAGCTCAGGAACGCACACTGTTTCCAACCAGGATAACTACAGGATTCTAAGGTAACGACCTCCTGAACAGATCTGCTCCCTCTTAGTCCTCCAGCAACACAGGGTCAGGGGGAGAGAGATGGGAAGGTGGGTGCGCCTCTGGGCTAAGATGAATCCTGACTTGGTGTCTCCAGGATAATCCCTGTTCTCCAGCTCCCAAGCCCCAAATCTTCACGCCGTGGGAAGCCCGATCTGTTGGAGAGTCCACCGACAAGGGGAAGGGCTCTCAGAACGTTCCACGGTCTCCCCCTGATTGCCACTAGTGACCTCTGCCTCCAGGCAGCCTGCTTCAGGCTTGCCTACCCCAGGTGCACCTCCTGGGACATCAGAACCCTTCGTCTCCACAAAGCTCCATCTCAGACATGTCCACTGGCCCCTCTGGCTTTATCCCAAGTTCAGCTCACCCCAGACTGCAGCACTGAACCCAATTATACTGAAACAGTAAGAACGCCAAAGGCAAGTTCCACTCTGAGTCTGAGAGCCCTGTTCCTGCAAGTCTGGCTTGTCTCTCATGCTTGGCCAGGTTCCAACAGCCTTTGAACTTAGCAAAAGCTAAGTTCATTCTCCCTAGCCTGGCAAAACCATCTCTTGCCTCTTACTTGACCTTGCAGGGGAGATTCGCTCTGCAATATCTCCCCTCACACCCATAATCTTATCAGGTCTGTTTTCTGCAGAACGCAAATGCCCACTCGAGTTTTTCCCAAACCAAAGGGTGGTCCTCCCCTAAAATGAACTGACATTGTCCCAACCCTGGGGGTTGGGACAAATTCTTTACCCTTTTTTTTTCAATGAGGTGTACATACGCATATCAAAAAAATCAGAAGGTATGAAATGACAGAGCGGAAAGCTTCCTCCCTCCCACTCCAAACCTCCATCTCACTCCCGGTGAGTTTGCTAGGACTGCTGTAACAAAGCTCCATACACGTAAACAACAGAAATCTATTTCCTCCTAGTTCTGGAGACTAGAAGACTAAGATCAAGGTGTCAGCAGGGCTGGTTCTTTCTGAAACTTGTGAGGGAGAATGTATCCCAGGTCTCCTGGCTTCTGGTGGTCGCTGGCAATCACGGGTATCCCCTGGCTTGTAGAAGTGTCACCTTCATCTCTGACTTAACATCACATGGTGTTCTCCCGTGTGTGTGTCTGCGTCCAACTTTCTCTTTTTATAAATACTCCCAGTCATATTGGATTAGGGGTCACCCCACTCCAGTGTGACCTCATCAATTGAACCAAGTACATCTGCAATAACCCTATTTCCACATAAACCCACATTCTGATGTCTTGGGGGTTAGGGCTGCAAAATATGAAGGGGGGGAACACAATTCATCCCATAGCACCCTCCCAAAGGCAAAACAACCACATCATGTTCCTTTAAATTAGCTGGACATAAGCAGTGCATTGACACGTATACTTTTATCCCAAACAGAAGCATTTCCACGTAAAAATGGACGCAAAACATCCTCTCTGAACTTTTATTGCCTGCTACCTGGAGCTCAGGCACCAAAAAAGCTCAGATAACATGCTATCCCTCACTGCCTGGATTCGGAATCCACACTTGCACTTAGTCTTGGCTCACACCATCCGAGCTCAGGAATCAGATTTGGTTATTAAGGGATTCTTATAGAAAATGTTCCCTGTCAGTGCAAACAGCTGCCACATTTTTAACAGCTGTGTAGGATTCTGCCAGGTGGATATACCATAATTTAAGTGGTCCCTTTTTTGTTGGCTATTTAGGGCTTTTTTCTCCATCATTTGTCACCACAAACAATGCTAACGTGAATACTTTCTATATGCACCATATATTTTGCTAAACCAATTGGTGGAAAATGGTATCTCATCATAACTTTTAATTACATTCCTTTTAAGTTGAAAAAAAACCTCTTTCATACATTTAAAACCATTTGTATTGTCTTTTCTCTGAACTATGGGTCCATATATATGCCCATTTTAAAAACTAGATTATCAGTTCCTTTATTATTGGTTTGCAGGCACTCTTTACATATTAGGAAAATCAGCCCTTTGTTTTTTATATGAGTTGCAACTATTTTACCCCTAGGTTTATCATTGGTATTTAGTTTTAGTTAAGGTGTTTTTGCTTTGCAGAAATCTTTTTTTCTCTTTGCACGGCTGAATTCACCAATCTTTTCCTTATGGCTTCTCCACGTGTTTCGCCACATTCCTAGAAAGGCCTTCAACAGGGAAGTCATAAGGAGGCTCTTTGTAAATTTTGAGTTTCTTGGGTGTGCCTTCTGTTTTCTCTTGCTAACTAGTGGAGCCCCTACAATTAGCCCTAAAACCAGTGGCCCTTCTAACTACCAATGAAAGAGATCTCAGCAAAGCAATAAGAAAATACTTCCCTTTCTGCATCCTAAAACCGCACTCCCAAATGTTATCTCTAGGAAAAGAAGTCTTATAAGAATCCAGGTTTTGGACACTACTCTTCTGTCTCATGGAAGTAACTTGAACCTATGAGGAGATTGTGGCTTGTTGTCTTATTTAAAAGCAACTTTTTCTGGTCACTGTGTGCAGGTCTACATACATGCTTTCTAGAAGATGAGGGGTTTTGCTATTCTTAAGCCAGAAGCACTCTATCCTTCTCCCATTTGTGTGGAGATTAAAACCTACAACTCTGCTGGGTGTCCCAGTTCACAAAGTGTTTGGGAATTTGCCTCACTGGATGGAACACTCCCTCTCCCTCCTTTCGGCAAACACCTCTTATGCCCCCCACCCCCGCCCACTCCCAGGTCCTGGAGAGGTTGAAAGCAGCAGATCCAGCCTGGGGCCAGCTGGCAGTGTCAGGAGCCTGGGCTGCAGACCCCGGCTGACCTGTGTGAGTGGCCTTGTCTCTCTGAGCCTCTGTTTCCCCCTCCCATTCCTTGGCAGCTGCGGAAAAATCCTAAGTGGGTGTAAAAATATGCTGTACCAGCAGACCGATGATGGCATTGGGGAGGTCTGCATGTGGGGCCGGCATGTCTTCATGGGCTACCTGGAAAGAGAGGAAGAGACCAAGGACATCATCGACAAGGAAGGCTGGCTACACACCGGGGACCTGGGCTGCATGGACAAGCAGGATTTCCTCTACATCACTGGCCGCATCAAAGGTATGGGGGCTGGGCTCTGCAGGGACCTCCTGCAAGCATGCCCACCTTGAACACTTAAGGGCACGGGCCCTCAGCTCCCCCTCCTACAGGGACCCTCGCATGAAAGTGCAGGGTCACCCTGGTCCACGCATCTCAGCTCTGTCCTTGTGCCCAGCATTTGGCCCTCTGCGTGATGGGCCTGGGAAAGACACCCACCCTGGACCCTCCTTCCTTCCTTGTAATTGAGGATAATAATGATAACGATTAAATAAGGATTAAACGAAATGATGTAGAACAGGGATCAGCCAACTTTTCCTGTAATGGGCCCAACTGTAAATATTTTTGGATTTGCAGGACATATGGTCTCTGTCGCAGCTACTCGGCTTGGCAGTCATAGTATAAAAGCAGCCACAGACAATACGTAGACGAATGGATGTGACTGCGTGCCAATATAATTTTCATGTGTCACAAATATTATTCTTCTCTGGGTTGCCTTCCAACCACTTCAAATGTAAAAACATTTGGCTTGTGGCCATACACAAACAGGCAGGAGGCAGAATTTGGCTCGCAGGCTGCACTTGACCAACCTCTGATGTAAACAGAGCATTTGGCACTAGGCCTGACAATAGGGGGTAACTACTCAGTAAGTGGGCTCTGTTAGCATTATTTCCATGATAAGCAACAGAAAACCCTTCTTAAACAGGTTTGAGGTAAAAAGGGAAACGTTTCAAAAACTGAAAAGTTCAAATGGTCTTGCTTCAGGCATGGCTGGATCCAGGTGCCAAACAATGTCACAGGAGTCTCTCTAACCTTCTCATACTGAGCTCTCTCCTGTGTTGGAGCCATTCTTGAAGAGGCTTTTCCCATTTAAAGATGACAAGATGGCGGCCAACAGTTTAGGCTCACCCTAACCCCCAAAGGACAAGAGTGTGTTATTCCCAATAGTTCTAGCAAAAGTTTTAGTCTTGACTCTCATTGGGTCACATGCTCACCCTGCCGTTCACCTGCCCAAACCACATAAAGATGGACAGGAGTTCCCTAAGAAAATATCAAGGTGCATTCATCTGGAGGAGTCACTGGGCTGATAACACCACACGTGTCCATTATGTGATCATATTACTACTACCGCTATAATGACCTCAGTAAAGGTGACTGCAAGGTCATGGGATGAGATGGGGAGAGTTTGGGTGGGTGGGACAGGAATTGGCAAGCATCCCGGGATAAAAGAACAAGTGAAGAATGTGTCTGGGGCAGGAGGAGAGCTCGTGAAGAATTTGAGAGGCTCAGGGGAGAGAGTGACACAATGCTTTAGACTTTGCCAAAATGAGGGATGCGACACACTACCTCGTGGTAAGGCTGGACTTAGGCTCTTTTGGGATTGCCAAGTGATGGGAAAATCAGGGAACAGACAGACAGGGTGTGGCCAGAGCATTACACTATCTTCCAAGCAAGATATATTGGAAGGCATGGACCAGGGTATGGGGGACTGAGAAATAGGCGATGAATTAATAAGACGTTATCCAAATGGAATGCACAAGACTTGGATGCTTGATGGGGATTTGAAGAAGACAGGGTGGGGGGTGGGCAGAGTGACTTTGGGTCTGTGGCTTGGAGAAAAGCACAGTGGGAGTCCTGGCCATGGGCAGGGGTCCTCCTCTGCTTCTGGGGTTTCCTAGGTGAGTGGCTGTCCATGCCAACATCTGCCCCCTCTGATCCTCGAGAGGGTAGGGGTTTTGAATTGTTGTGCTTGAACCCACAGAGCCATGCTTTGTTTCAGAAATCCTCATCACGGCCGGCGGCGAGAACGTGCCCCCCATTCCTATTGAGAACATGGTTAAGGAGAAGATCCCCATCATCAGTAATGTTGTGCTGGTAGGAGATAAGGCCAAGTTTCTGAGCGCCCTGCTGACGCTGAAGGTGACATAGCTGTCCTGCAGGGTCTGTGCCCCAGGGTCCGGAGGGTGTGCCCCTGAGGGTTCGAGACCTGCTTCGTGGTCCTAGGGCTGGCCGGGCAGTGTGTGTGGGTGTTGGGTGTGATGACAGGGGTGTCCTGGGGGCAGTGTGAGATAGACAAGATGAGCGGAGAGCCACTGAACAGGCTGAGCTTGGAGGCCATCAAGTTCTGCCAGAGCCTGGGCAGCCATGCGTCCACCGTGACTGAGATCGTGGAGCTCCAGGACCCCCTGGTCTACATGGCCATTCAGAAAGGCATCGACGCTGTGAATCAGGAAGCCACCTCTAAAGCGCAGAAGATTCAGAAGTGGGTCATCTTAGAGAAGGACTTTTCCACCCACGGTGGAGAGCTGGGTGAGTGGCCTGGGGAGCCAGTGGCTTTGGCACGTGGAAGCTGGTCCCTTGCTAGCGTCCAAGGGCCATGTGGACGCTGAGGAGACATGCCCTTTTCTGGGGGTCAGAGGGTCCGTGGGACCAGCCGGGGACCGGGAGAGGGATGCTGCCTCCTCCAGCCGACTGGTGACCAGCTCCTCCTGAACACACACACACATACTCACACACACACACGCGCACACACACACACACACACACACACACAGTCCCTTCTCCCCAGGGCAGCCACATCCCCCACTCTAGGAATAAAAGCCAAATCCCTTACTATGACTCTGTGTGATCTCTCCCCTCTGACCTCTGCTTGTCACTTACTTCACCCCACTGATGAGAAAGGTGGTACACCCAGGAAATGGGTCACCCGCCAGCCCTAGCCATGGGACCCTGTTGCCTGGTCATGCCCGGGGCATGTGGACTTTTATTTTATTCCCACTACTAAACTGGTTTCTTCTTTCTCGATAGGTCCAACGACAAATATTAAGAGACATTTCATAACCCAGAAATACAAAAAGCAAATTGAAAACTTCTACCACTGACTTCACTGGTGGAGCTGCTCTTGGCTGTCCCGATGGTGAGATGGGCTTTGTTGGGCTGTGCCTCAAGTGAGTCCAAGAGCGGTGGTCTCTCATGTGTCAGGCATGTCTGTGAGCAGAACTGCAGAGGCCACGTGCACACATGCACATACATGTTCAGTTGTCATGGGTACTGGGTAGTGTCCAGCCTCAACTCATGCTGTCTCTACCAGGGTCATGGCAGGGCACACAAACTCCTCCACAGGTGGCCGCCCACGTTGTTAGCTGTTCTGGCCGTTCCCACTTGTCTCAAAGAGGAAGCAGAGCAATCTTCCCATCCAGGACCAGAGTTTTTCATAAAACGCCCAAATGTTTTATTGTGGCCTATCTGGAGAAGACTTTTGTCAGAAGCTTTGGTGGGGTAAGTTCTACTTACCAGGAAGCCAAGGAATGAAGTGTGTTGACTCGTCACAGACGGTAAGGGATGGAGACTTGAACTGCTTGCTCCTACCCACCCTTTCTTCTACTTTCCCCCAAGTCTTGTCCACAGGGAGCCCCATGACACCACGGTGGACGCAGAGAGAAGGCATGGTCAATTGTCTTAACGGCTACCTGTAACCCTTTCACGTCAAGTCTTTCTCTCCTGATGCCAACACACCTGTGTTCATTTACTAGGGCTGCTGTACCCAAGCACTGCAGGCTGGGGGCTTAAGCAGGAATGCTTTTTCTCCCAGTTTTGAGGCTGGACGTCCAAGATCCAGCTGGGCTGGTTCCTTCTGAGGCCTCTCTGCTTGGTTTGTAAATGCCGTCTTCTCCCTGTGTCTCTGGGTCCAAATTTGCCCTTTTGATAAGGACACCAGTCACATGGATTGGGACTCACCCTAATGACCTCATTTCAATGACCTCTGTGAAGACCCTATCTCCAAATAAAGTCACATTTTGAGGTCCTGGGGGTTGGACTTCCCATATGGATTTGGGGTAGGAGGACATAATGCAGCCCATAACACCACCACATACATTTTCTTCATCATTAACTGGTTTAACTCCTCCACACCTTCATTTGTCAAAGTCTTGTGGATGAGTCCAGCAATTAAATACATTCATCATTCCACATCTCTTGAAAGATTTCCAGTTCACTTTGTTGTTGGGTGAGAGATCATTGACACTGGTGGGGGGTGGGAGATGGACCCCTATGTCTGTGTTGTCGTGTGGCAGCAAACTGGCCACAATGTGGCATGTCCGAACTGAGAGGCACTGTATGTGTAAAATACACACTGGGTTTTGAAGGTTTAGTACCAAACAGAGAATAATAATATCTCATTCATATGTTAAAATACTCATTACATGTCAAAATGATCATATTTTGGATATCCTGGGTTACATTAAATATATTATTTTAATCAATTTCACCAGTTCCTTTTCTTGTGGCTACTAGAAAAATTTTAAGTATATAGGTGGTTCATGTGATATTTTTCTTGGACAGCACTGCTCTAAAGTTCACTTCAGAGGAATTCAAATTTTTCTAATTTAAAAATAAATCTGCACATTCAGGAATATTTTCATCTTATGGTAACTGCGGGGACTCAGAGGATAAATACACATATTTTAAGAATCCCCACATGACAGCTTGTCTTTCTCTTCTCTCCAGCCTCTAATGGGAAGACCTCATCGCGATACATCATTTACTGCTATAGGTAGGGACTTTCGTTCCTATTTTTAAGAAGCCAGACCTATGGGTCCATCTCTTGATTATTCACGCATTGAAGTGGTGCCCCATTGGGACCTGCCATGCCTTTCAAAGCAACAAGGTCATCATAGATCTCTGAATTCCAATGAACCTTCAAAGTGTGGTCCTCCTCCAGGGGAAGCTTCTGGGGATGTCTCTGAAGAACTGCCTGTTTTAGATGATGTGACCTTGTGGGTTCCAATTGGGTATTTTTTTCTTTCCTGAGGACTGAATGAAACATCAGAAAGAAAGGCATTCACAAATTTGAAGAACTGGGCCCCCAGACCGACTCATCTTCTGGGAAGCAACTTGGAAACCCTTCCAATAACTTCTGATAATAAAGCACATCAGCAACCCATGCCGTGAGTTTTGACCAGATGCAAACATTTTGTCCTCTGTTGAGAAGCTCAGACTCTGAAATCACTTCTGGGTTGAGATGCTGGCTAGCTGTGTGTGAGTTCAACCTATGAGTCTTCTGGGGGTGGCG